TGTAACTATAAAATGCTTCATGAGGGTTGATTTAACTCTGTTTTTACTTGATTCATTTGAATTAAAAAAACAAAGATTGCCACTGTCCGCGAATTTATGTCTTTCTGTTGCATTTTTTTCACTTTATGTGTGTCCAGGTACTTGTGATGAAGGATGTCAAAAATGTAATAAAACTGTTGGCGGCAGTGTTCTTTACAATCTAGTTGAATGTGCAAACGTGTCAAAAAAAAAATCAGAAAACTAATACAACAGTAATACCCACGCCTCTGGTGTAAGTATTTCGAGTCAAGTGGGTATTATACTAATGGTGAGGACAGACAATTGTACTCTTTAACAAAATGTGGACTTGGGATTCACACAACAATTGATCCCATGATACATGTATGTTACATGCCTAAACAGTGAGATTAACGGTTGCTATTAAATCTGAGACGAAAGTTTGATTAGGACAAAACCACAAATTGCATGACGTTGACATGGGATTTGTACAAAAATAACTCCTACGAAATGGAATGCCTAATAAACATCAAAGTACTGAAACGTACTGGGAAGTGCTAAGCATATTGATTTGAAATTCATCAGAACCATTTTGAATTTAAATTTCCTGTTGTACTGAATTTTAAGTAATATGTTGACAGTGCGACAGTGCTAGGGCGAGCACAGCTGTTTGGTACAAAATCAAATATGTGAGTCCTGAAAACTTCCCGTTGGATTATGACATTCAACATTGTCGTATGTCTTTTTATTTTAAAAAATTAACATTTTCTTCTTCTGTCAAAAGATCAATCAATTTCACATGCATGAAATTGCAAGAAAATATTTCTCCATGTAAAAATATTTTCTATTCCAATCGCCTTTTGGAATCTATAGGCGTTTGACGTTACGCTTTCATTGCGCTACGGAAAAATTTACGTAATGTTTCCTATAGTGTTACTTGCTTGACTGGTACACTATCGCTATCTCTTTGTATTTGAAATGCGAGTTTAAAAAGTCATAGGCTATTTGTAATTAAACTAATGAACATAAAGGGCGCTTTGGATTTGTATATACGTATATGATAATTTTGTTCATTTTTCGAATCTTTAACGCATTTTCATGTATTACGTTGAAGCAGAACGAATTTTACGCGTCAAAAACGTCCAACGGACAAATATTTTGATCCTCCTAAATGGTGCGTAAAACATTAATTAATGGAGTAAATTTATTAATCTGACATTCAATCTAACAGTTAAGATAAGCACATTTTGAAAATTCAATTAATCCTGAAGTCGATGGGGAAAACGATATAATTTAACGACTCGAAAAAAGACATTGTCTATTTTTGCACGTCATTTTCGACGCTGGACATTTCTGTTGAACTTGTAGTCTAATTTCTAGCTTAAAAGCATGCAGATTAATATCAACATCAATGAAATATTTCAAATCTATAGAAAAAGCACATTATTTTGATATAATTTTTTTCTTGTTAATGAGTAAATTTATTGTGTATATTCATATGCACGTTTTTAATGAAAAGCGTTACATATTCTTCATCTGTAAAAACTATCGTTTTCTATGTCTTGCCAACATTTGATGCAAAATCGTTAAGGAAGTCACAAATGATATGAATTGCTCTTGTTTTGTGATGACAATGAAAATTCTAGATTCACTTTAGAACGCTATACACACGAAAAATGCGCGATCCCCGCTAAAAATGTAACGCTTTACAGGCTTAAAATGCCATTTATCTGCGTTTTAGAATTTTACTTTTTGTATTAGAAATATTGAAATGTTATTTTCTCACTAGAATCGAGTAGTTCTGTTGAAAATCTATCCATTCATACCAAAATCATCCATATTGCAAGTATATTTTCAAAATAAACGAAGAATTTCATAGGTCAGATTTTCAAATTGTAAAATGGCACCAACATCGCGCGTAACGTCATAAGAGGTAATATTTGCATATAAATTGCAATTTATTGGAAGGGAGATGGTAACCGAGTTCTCCGATGAAACTTTTGCGGGAAAATGTATATTTCAAAATAATTTGAACACTTGAAAATGTAGCTAAAATTTCTCTCATTTGTTTGCAACACTGAAAGATAAAATCTTCTGGTGTTCATTTTGAATTACAAATTTATTCCGCATTAACAAGTGTTTCATATTGAAGATTGGCATCATGTTTGTAACATCGTCATGTGACAAAACTCTATGTAGATGAAGTGAACATCCGTTGAATTACATCCGTTGAATGACATGTAACGCCCTCTTTCGATGCTATCCTTTAATCTCTGATTTTCAAATACATGATTTATGGCGTATTTGCAATAACATTTGTGTTGATGTCACGATATGTTTTACGTATTTGTAAATATAACTTTTTTACAATAATTTTTTCAACACTTTTCTTCTTTGGAATAAAAAAAAAATCATTTATCCCTTAGCACTACTAAAAGCTTTTATATGTATGATATATTTCAACACAATTTGTAAAAAAAAAAATGAAAGAAAGAAACTGGGAGGATAAGCCGATTTATATGCCTACATTACGGTCGATAAAAATCAAGAAATTCATTTTTCACAAATTTTACGTTTTGTTTAATTTACGAGGGCTGTTCGAAAATTATTGAGACACTGTGTATATTTTGCTTTCTAATGAACGTCTTTCGGTGAAAATTTGCATAAACGTTTGACATACACTGAGAATTATTAAAAGCAAAAAATATTTTACAAATGTTAAATATTTTCTGTACAATAGTATATATGTGCATCAATGGTAGGGGTACCCGGAGCAGACACGAATTCAAATATTATAAATATGTATCACCGACGTTTTAACTATTTGTGGAGCCATAATAAGAGCGAAAATAATTCAGATTATGAGTGTAATTTTTCAGCTTTATTTCAAATTCATGTTGTGCAACTTTGTAAGAATTTTGATCTGGAATACGGAGATCATGAAAAAAATTACGCGCGGTAGAGAAATCTTCTAAGAAAGGAAAATTGGATTTTAACGTCTAGGGCGGAGCAGCCAATATAACTAAAATTTTGTGTAGCGCAATGTAGAACTCTTTTCCAGACTGAAAAACCTGCTGAAACAATAACAACGAGAAAAAAATAATGTGTCAGGGTTTGTTATTTCATTGGGTATACATTTTTTTTTTCAATTAATTTAACAGGAGTTAATCAAAACCTCCGGACGACTATCAGTGATTACGTACGATATTAATATACTTACGGTATTAATATCGTTAACCCGCGTTGCGTAAATCGGCACTGCGTGATACTAAGTCATCCTTTCCCACAAATGAAAATTTTACACTAGGGTAGCAGCAGCAATATTTTTAAAAAAATAGTTTAAAAAAAGAGACTGTTTGGTTTTTGTAATGTTATATGTAATAGCAAAGAAGGAAAAGTATTAAACGCTTCCCGGTCGTTTTACATGCGAAAACATCTCCGGCTGACGTGACGTTAAATGACGTAGCGATGCTGCTGCGGGTCGATAGACATATGCATGTTTATCATTTCACTGAAACTTTACTTTTTGTTATAGGAATTAGAAATTTTGCATAAACGTAATATTCGTTCTTCATGAAATGTTGATGATATTTCACGAAGTTATCTCCGTCCTTTATTGAGTTAATGTAATTGTCTCAATAATTTCCGAACAACCCTCGTATGTACAGATGTATTGCTTTTTTTCCATTTACATACAAAATTGATATTACCTGCAAATTCTATTCTGATAATTGGATGCTATAACCACATTTCTTGAATAAAGTGGGTCATCGTACCATTTCTTTCTTCTTTTTGTTTGGAGAACGAATAATGAAGACAATGGAAAGAATTTGAGACGTTTCTTTTTACACTTGCAAAAATTTGGTACAAAGATCCACTATACATAAAAAAATAAGTTTATACTTACTTAAAATTTCACCGTGGTCTTAGAAAATAAGTCCAATTACACGTGCTAAATATGGAGAACTGTATGCTATTTCAATGGCCATATGTGACTGCGAGGAGTAGAGGTTATCGAGGAACTCTTTAAACGGGACGTTTAATTAGAAGTGTTCGAATCATGTTCTGATGTTTTGATTTTATTTAAATTTTGGTTTTGGTATCGTTTTACTTTATAATTCAATTGCTGTAGAAATAAATCTTTTTTAAAATAAAAAAATAATAATATATACACTGTATCTATGAAATAACGAACCCATTTACAGTAAACAATCTAAAACGTATGTACAAATTATGATAAATATTGGAATACAACCGGGCATTCCCGTTTAGACTTATTTTGACTACAAATGCTTCTAAACCAAATAATCCCAACAATCATTACATACCGTGTAAACAGTTTAATTATATATCTCCACAATACGTGTTAAACTCAATATGTAGATTGCAGAATGAAAGTCCCTATTCATGTTGAAAATTATGTGGCAGAAAATGAAAGTCAAATGTTCAGCTTGTTTACAATCTAGTATAATTTTGATAACTACTGTAAACATTTAAATGCCTAGGTAAATCTGGAAAAATTGGATATTTCCAATAACTGTACTTGCAAAGCCGAAAATTGTGCATGGGCATTTGATTCATCTTATCCCCCTCCCAGATTCTTTATTGTATAGAAGGGAATGGCTAAACTAACCGCATATATGAAAAGATAGACTCAAAGATACATGTTAATCACAATTTGTTCTCGTCTTTAGATATCAATACAAGGGCTTTCCGAAAATTTCGAAGACTTCTATCTGTCATATTATTTATAAATCTTGTAGACATATTTAAAGAATAGTAAATTTGAATGGTTTGAATATAAAATATTTTATATATCATTAGAATTTACTCAAAATTTGAAAGTGCTTTACTGGATGGAATTGATTAAAATGTACAGATGTGGGTAGTCATAACTCTGTAAAACGACACAAAACGAAGACAATTAATACGTTCATAATTATAATTGTTGCTTAATTTTATAAAGAAAAACTGGAACTTACAACGTATACATGAATGCCACTAAAACAGTTATTAGTCATCTAAGTGCAAAGTGGTAAATTCAGTTTTTTTTTAAGAGTTTGTGTGACGTCATCCTGCTAGACTTGTGTGAAATGTCAAGGTAGAGCATTTTAGAGAAATTCATAACGTCATGTTTTTGAAGTTGCAATGTTGTAAATGTGCTCCGTGGAAAACAAAACATGATAATTTTAGAATAATGCATTATAAGTTTCTTTGATAAATTATGAAACAAAAAACACCAACAAAGTAAATATTTAAACTCATTATGTGTTGATAAATGATATTGTCCGAAATTTTTCTGACCAGCCCAAGCTATTCTTATAATATTCAATACTCCCAGCTCCTGTATGTTTAATTTTAAATTTTATGTATATATATGTTTTAAATATTTAGAATAAAGTGTAAAAATGCGAGGAAGTGTGTTAAATTATACAACTTAATTGAACTAAAATAAAGGAAAGAATACAGAAAATAAACTTTTGAAAAAGTATGAATAACAAATTTACGTAAAATATAGGCTGACAATAAAGCCAAATAATAAAACGATGGAAGAACTAATGTTGTAAAAAATAAATTATAAAGTCTAAACGCCAAACAGTCAAGCAACATGTTGATAGAAGACGGGCTACGGATTGAAAACGCATTGGATGTAATGTCATACATCTGTATTTCATCACGCTTTTTCTAGGATGACATTTTGTATCACCAATCTAGTACTGCTCATCCACATCTTTTCACGCCTCTGGTTTAGGATAAAATTATGTATCTAATCTCTGATCCAATAGTGCTCATTCATATCTTTTCACGCCTAGTCTAGAATAAAATTTTGTTTCAAATCACTCACCAAATATGTTCATATTTTCCACGCATGGTCGGGAATATGTTTTTTATTTAATCACTGATCCAGTCGTGTTCCTCTTTTCTTTTCATGTCTGGTCTCAGATAATTTTTTGTATTTAATCACTGATTTAATACTGCTCATCCATATATTTTCACGCCTGGTTTTGATCCAGTAGTTCTCTAATATACACCTTTAAATAATGGATAGTTTTGATAGAAATTAGATTTAGAGAAAAGAAGTTGAATCTTTCAAGGAAAGAAAATTTATTATTTATAATAAATATAAACTTTCAAAACTTATTGAAGTTAAATAACGTTCAGTACAAATCTGGTACAAAAGTACATGTAGATAAAATGCTCACACAGGATTTTGAGGTGTGTCGTCTGGGGCTGCTAAAGAACAATCCTGCAATTCTGGATCTCTAGATTTTAAACTGGGTGGATTTTTATTCAAAACTGAGGCAAATATAATGCCAGATGTTTGTACATGAAATATATGGAAATAACGAACAGTTTTCAAGGTCAAAGGCCATTAAACAATACAATACAAAATAGGAGCAGAGCAAACACAGACTTCTAAAACATCAGAGGTAGGATCAGATGCCATGAATGATTAAGCATCCCCTGCCGACAGGTCAAACCCTCCTTGTGCTCCTTGTCATGATTTGGAAATAGCGGAAAATCTGTCAATAATTCAGTGTGCTAATAATGACCTAACAATATTATAAGTATGAAAAACTTCAGGCAGCATTTATTCTTGACTCAGTGATAAATTAAATTTGCTGACAAGGTCATTGAATCGGCCATAGAACTTAAAACTGATGACTTTAAACGAGACTTCTGATATTCTTGTTTATAAACATCTTTGTCAATAATTAACCTTATTTTAGAAATTGTTTCTATGTAGAGCATGCTCTTGTGTATCGAATACATGTATTTCCAGATGGCATTCAGGATTCTATTCATCGGCAAAGAAAAACAAAACCCCTTGGGAAAAAGAAATAAATTAAAATCAAGTATTGGAATAACGAGCATTATTCAAGCAATACAACTAAGCAGCAAAGCAAACAAACACTTGTATACCTCTAAAACTTCAGAGTCGGGATATTGGTGACATGGAGGAGTAAACATCCCTTTCTCCGATCGGTGACGTCCGCCGTTTGTCCCTTATCATGATCGGGAACAATTCTCTTTAAATTTCATTATGCAAGCATTTATTTAGTAAAAATAAGAAAGAAAACGGGTTTTAAAATACCTGACGTATTTCTTACATCAGTTTTCTGGTATAATAAGAACTGACAACCTGTTTGTAACTGATTTTCTTGGTTGCTTCATTTATGCATGGGTTTGTTTCTCAAACAATTGAGGCGGCACAAACTTTGATTAGGGGAGTTCAAAAATTAATGTTTGTTCCATAATGTCAGATATTGATAACTTGATTCGACACTAGAAGAATTGGAAAATGTCATGAAGGAGTGCACGTGGAAGCGTACAAGATGAGAATATTCTTGCATCCTCTAGGACCTTTCTCAATTTTGAAGGTTTATAAAAGTAAAATTTTGCTGTTAATATCATATATTTATTTGCAGATTGGGTTCCTATATTATGTTGAACCACTGACTAGACTTTTTTTTCACTTAAATTAATAATAAAAAATAATAATAACTTCACATATGCATATGACTTGTACTCTGCCAAGATATCGTGGAAAGACTTAATTTTGCAAGCAGTTAGCACTTCACTACCCATTATTATTATCGTTTTCGTTTGTCAGTGTGGATTTCAAATAAATAAGTTTTTTGGGGCGTATCATTTCCCCCGAAATGTTCAATTTTCAGATAGAATTGGATGCCAAAAATTATAAAATGATTATTTCTTTTTCGAGTCAAAAAATAGAGACTTTTAACAATTTTTATTTGAAACATTCTCCGCAAACTTTGCTTAAATGAAATTGCTTTAAAAATCATATAAAATCAGTCAATAAGTAAATCAATAAAAATGAATCAAAATTGTTAATGTTGATTTTATCAACAACACATTTTTGGAAAATATATCTTTTCCGTGAACATTTTTTTTGATGAAAATTTATTGATATTTCGTATTAAAGCGCCTTGTACGCCCCCTTTTCATATACATACCTCATGTTAATCGAGACGGCTGAATACTAGGACAAAATACACCTTTAGAACAACAGCACTTATCACAATCATGATGCCTAAAATACATTATACATCTTTATTATAAATGAAACGAAATTGATTCTCTAACTTTAAAATGATCCTTGCTTTGAAAATGTTTTAAAAGATGCATTTTATCATAAGAATGGCTTTTAAAACAATACTTAGTCTTATATACAAAATAATAATCATATGATCACCATTGAAATGAAATCAAATAATTTTTGTAAAAGAAGCCCTTTTCGTTTTACTTTTGAAATTATATATGAGAAGAGTAATTTTAAAATTAAAAAAAATAATTGTAGGCTTACAAGTAAATGGTACGCTGAATAGTTATTGTTACATGTAAATAACCAAATTTGTTATGTGCAGACTAAATACGTGTTAATAAATACATGAACAATTTCAAGATTTTTTCTGCCTCCAAAATTACAGTAGAACTTATTATACTTATTTAACACAAAACAAAAACCTGAGGCTGGCATGCAGGACATCATCTCTATATTCTAGACAAAATTGAATATTTTATAGATTTTAGACAAAATTGTGAACCACATATAATGACCTTGATAAACAAAATTGTTACTAAATTAAAAAGCAAGGCATTTTAAATGTTTGAACCGATAAATGAATGCATCATGAACTGAGTCGTTACAATTTCAATGAAAACCTGAAAATTGTGCTCACAGTTTTCGGAGGATTAAATTTCAATTTTCTTCCATGATTGCTATGCTTGAACTAACCAGAGACATTGGACATCGTTTTCTGAAAGTTTGTTCTATAGTTTAATTTCTGTTTATTCATATTTGCCATCATCAAGACAATCCCCGAGAATAAACATCATTTCAGCTCAGTGTATATAAAGCATATATAAAACAAATAAATCACACAATATAGATATTCATCCTACCTCTCCTCACCCCTCTCTCTATACTATTGGAATGAACTGATACATTGAACAGCAAAAATGGAAAAAAAAAATCGTCATGGGCATTTTCTTATTGATACGTACCTTTAAAACAAATAGAAAATACGGAGAAGAAAAAGAAAAGTGATATATGTAGTAGTACTACCCAAGTGAGTGAAATTAGAATGTAATATTAAACATTGTTTTTCTACTTCCAATGAGAAATTACATGCATTTTCCATGAGTTTTTGTCAAGGATACTTCTTTAAACAAAAGCATGTTAAGCAAAACCAAATCTGAAATTAGATTCTAATTCCTATAACTAATCAGTATTCGAAATATATATGCATAAACAAAATCAAATGTAATTGTTCATATAAAATTCTTACCTGTTTAAGTTCTATCATTTATAACAAAATTCGTTAACAAGAATATACGAGTAATAAAAATTTGTTACGCAATATACTAAAAATTATACTTGTAAGGAAAACGAGTTAACAATTAAGAAATCGAGCAGCGGATGTGCAACAATATGCTAAAATTTCATGAGGATAAAACACACTTAATAGTTTTTGCTCCTACACATCAAGTCACCGTCTCCATCTTACTATCTGAACTTTAGTGACACCATCATTAGGGAGGCAACCAGTGTTAAGTTGATGTCTCTCAGCATCTGCGTCTCGTGCATGCTGCTACAATCGGCCAATGACTACGGAGGAATTTTGCTCGTATGTTGTCTAAGCTTGACTTTGCTAACGCTCTATACTCCCTGCTCTATGGTGTTAATACATTTGATCTAGCCGAATTGCAGTGCATACAGAATATAGCGGCAAGTATCATTTTACCCGTAACAGAAGGAAGCACATTATTTATGAACTTGGTCGTTCCCTTAGCTCAGCAAACAAGCTGAAACTGCAAAGACATCGATGTATGGCAACAGACGTTTTAATGTGGCTGTTCAGCATCCCTCTGGCCTTATTACCTTCATATCTGCTTTCATATCCATCTATTCACACTTTTTAAAATATCTTAAAACCCATTTTTTTTCATGGAGAAATTTGATACAATTTTCATCTTTGATGTGTCACAAAAAAATGTATTATAGACATTTAGGGAATTTTGATTTATGCAAGAGCATATTTGTGACTCTTTAATCTGTTATCTAAATATCAAGATTTTTTTCTGCTATTTTGTATTTATATATTTTTTTTCTTATTTTAAAACTTATTATTCATCACATTTTTCTACTTTTCAATTTTTTAAAAACAAATTATAAATACCAAATTTTAATATCCTATGATATTTAAGAAATGAAGCTCTTTTCAACTTAAGTTATCCGATATAATATAACTTGGGGCAGTTTACACTTTATAAAACGCGAAGCGGAGCAATACGTTAATGACGTAACTCATTGTGACGTAGGCAAGTTCTGTTATACAAAATGGATAAAATCTTTTACCCAATCAAATGACGTGTTACAGCTAAAATTAAATCATTCAATATTATTTTATTCCTTATATTGTCTTCATATTTTTATAAATGTATATTTACTTTGTTGTACACCACTTTAGAATGATTGTTTTTTTAATAAATAATATATATGGCGTTTTATAAATATTTATATTACTACTAATAATAATAATAATGGTCTGGGGGTTTAATATCTTTCTTTGATATTGTTTAATCAAAACAATTATGACACAACACTATTGCTTTGAATAAAGTATTGTACAAATTAAATCTTACCTGAAGGGTAACTAATCCCATCGAGGTGAATCATTTTTTTTCTTAGCAAGAAAAAGTCACGATTAAAAAGAAAATGAATCGAGTCGGATCGCTTTATTTGACGAATAATTTAACAAACCATATTAAATTAATAAATTATTGTTATTTTCTTCCTATTAGAAAGGTTTTTTGCTGTTTGTTTTTTTTTCAGTTTTATTAGAAAAATCGACCCGTTTCCATAAGTCGTCTTATGTGATTGACTGATAAAGGAACTCTCTCTCTCTCTCTCTCTCTCTCTCTCTCTCTCTCTCTCTCTCTCTCTCTCTCTCTCTTTCTTCGCTTTTAAATAGATTTAGTGATTTCCATTTTAATAAAGATTTTATATTTCATACTTACCTGAAGGATAAAATGGTATTTTCATGAGTTTCTTTCCAGCATTTAATCATTCAGTCTCTAACATTGATAAATATCGAAAAACACCGTACGTACATTTAACTACTTCCACTTGGTCAAAATCCGGCGATTATCGTTTTCAGTTTAAGATACACAATTCTGCGCATATTCGTGCAGCAAACAAAGTTCATTATGGTGATAAAAGTCAGTCATATGCTGAAATATGTGGACATATGGAGAAATGACGTGCAGTTTATTCATGAGGTTGCTCCCACGTGATTTACGTGATTTACTTCTCATTAATATTCATAAGATCCTGCAAAAACTCAAATTATACTACAGTGTATTTCTTTAATTTTTTAATATAAAAACATGCAAGACTTTTTAATTTAAATTTCTTTAAGCACTCGACATATCTAAATGGATAGAACTTAGTGTTATCGTCAGTTGGCAATTAATGATACCGTATGTTTCAATAATAAGTAGGTCAGGCGAATGCAAAAAATTGCCGTTTTTTAATTTAAAGGGCGGTCGTGACTTTTCATACAATTTTATAACAGCAATATTTTCTAAAAATAGACCTTCGTTTGCGCCTATTAATCGGCGGAAGAACTCTGTCATCATGCAATAAACACTTACATTTAATCTCCAAAAATGATAAAAACACTAAATAAGTTCTCTTTTCTTCATTAAAACGATGTACTCTCGCTTCGAATTTTCAAATCAAAAAGGCGGTCGCAACTTTCACTTTGGCATCAACATCATTGTTATTTCCGGTAGAGGATATAAAGGAAAAACAAAAGATCGGCGGAAGAACTTTATCCGAAATACATGTAGTTAGAATATAAAAATTGGCAATTTTTTGCAAGTTCTCTATGTAATCCTTTATAGAATCTGCCGCCATTATAGCTCCAACATGGCGAATATGTAAATGAGCAGAATGAACACCATTTCTCCATATGAGATAACGAAAAGTATTCGAACAGACATTGTTTTTCTAACTGCCATAAAATGTAATGATTAGTCAAACAGTCACTACCATACATTGTGTATCACTCAAATTCAAGACAGTCAACGACATCAAAGAGCGTAAATAGGAACAGAAACCAGTCTAATTCAAATTGGATCGGTTTTGCTCGACTACATATGACATAGATTCGACAGACATAATTTTGCATACTGCTTGATAAACCTAATTCTTTTATTGCTATATTTCATTTCTATCCCTATTTCATCAAAATAAATAAAAAATGAAATGAAATAAAATAAAATAAAAAACAAATAAGGAAATAAAAATCGCTCGCTCATGTGTAACTTAAACTCTTATTTTATTCAATAACTCATTTTTTTTTTCTTTTTGTGTAAATTTGGATTCATTATGTAATGTGAACATATAACTGATATCATATTTGTTAAAAAATATAATTTTAAGGGATCACATTTCTCCTAATATTTCTTTGTATTTCCTTACAAACGGTTAACTTTATCAGAAATAAACATGTACAACATAATTGATCCAGCAAATAAAAAAAAGTTTTTAAATGGCTGAACAATTAAACTATGTTTGCGATACTTTTTTAGATTCTATTCTTGATGAACAAAATAATATGATAACTAAAGTTTTTAATTCAAATTAAGCCACCAACAAACCTCCATTTTTTCATAGTGATACGAATTATTTTACAAACTTAAAGAATAAAATGTACTTAAAAACTTAACGCACTGCGCAAGAAAGTATCTACAATGTACAAGTTATTATTAATTTGGGAACGGATCCAGAAGTCTATATAGCTACACATCTTCGGTGAAATTCTCTAAATCGTGTTTAAAAATAAGGAAATTGTCAGAATTATTTACCACTTTAAAAAAAAGTCACGTACATTTACGCTTGTTCTTTCCCAAAGCAAATTGCAAAATAAAGCAATCAGACGCTTTCTTTATGCTTTTGTAAAAAACCGATTGAACGTCGGTCGTAAATCAAGTTAAAGGAGTGCCAAGTTGA